CACACACACACACACACACACACAAAACAGAGAGAGAGAGGGAGGGAGGGAGGGAGAGAGGGAGGGAGAGAGAGGTAAAGGACCTGCAATAATAGCTTCTCTTACTGACCTGTGAATGAAGTGATTTTCTTCCAAATACTGACAACCACAAGCAATATCACGAGCTACGTGGAGCAAATCCAGCATGGTTAGTGAGGAGGGATGGGTCTAAAAGGAAGAATCAAAGAATTATTTCAGGAATATGAATTTAAACAATCAAAAAGGGCTGACAAGGCATTTTTAAAAAAATGGGCAATCACAAAATCTGTTAGAATTAGTGTTGCTAACAGTATAAAAGCTAAATGTATAATTTGTTTTTCAAAAAAAGCACATTTTAGGTTACATTATTATTATTGCAATTCTAAATACTTCTTCCTAAGGTCTTGATCCCTGCATTTCACAGGGATTATCTTCTTATTTTCTGGGCATCCCATTTTCTGTTCTTTCTTTGTTCCTAATAAACAATTCTATGCAAAGTAAGCATGAATAAAGGGACAAATTTTCTAACTGGCAGAAGCTTGACTGAACAATCTTTGAAGTCATTTCCTACTAAATATAATGTATTGCATCTCCAACATTAATTTCTAGTGCTCAAATTAGCTTCACCCCCACTTTTTTTACTGTAGAACCTAAATTCCTGAAGAAGCATGAAATTATATAGTAAAAAGAACAGTTCTCAAATAGTTTCTCCAAATTTCAAGAACCCAGGAAATTATTTGACAGAATGAGCATGTATCCTGTTTTGAAAGACAGATTTCCTCCAAATCAGATGCTGTACAGATATAGAACAATAGAGATTGCCAGGAAAATTATTTCTGGCATGAGACGCAGCATTTCTAGATTTGGATAGTCCGGGGACAGAGAAGATTATAAACAAAGAATATTTTTTGTTGGACAGCTGGAAAAAATATCATCACAATTGACCCAATCCCACCCTATTTTGTGATGCCAAAATCATCTCCTCCAATTTGTTTTAGCAATTTTATTTTTTATATTTATATTTATATATATATTTTCAACTGATTCCCTAAATCCTCACTATTTTCAAAATAGAAACATGATGTCTCTATGTTCCTTTGCAAAACATTTGCATTTGCAAATGCGGCATTGAGTAAAATAATTACTAGGTTGGTACCATTCGTTTTAGGAAACCTGAAAAACCATGTTCAGGAAAATATTGCAATAAAACAACCTCTGCCAGTCTGATAAAACTGAGAATGAATGAGAAAGTGAAGGATCAAATTTTGTAAGTATTTCAGGAGTATAGAAAATTGTCAGACAAGCACATCCACATTCATGTTCACTGAATGCTGCAGATTGTTGATTCTCATCCTAAATAGCCAATACACCTGAATGTGAAATGCTCCAGTTCATGTACAGTATTTATTTATTAAATTTATATGCTGCCCATCTCCCTCTGCAAAGCTACTTTTATTCCCTTCCCTACTTCTGCTAAAAAGAAAAATAGCTTATCTGATAACAGAATTCCCAGAGGAGCTAAAGGAGTAGGTTTTAAAAGCAACCCTCATCCCAGGGATGGGTTCTTACCAGTTCTAACTTCTTCTATAAAAGAGGTTCCACATATCTACTGTGCTGTTTAGAACTGGTTCCAACTCCCCTCCCGCCCGTCTGCACCATGCTTGCCCTGCCCACCACTCACTGATTGGNTTGTTCTGTATTTGGAGATGACAGATCTAATAGAGATCTCTGTCTGGAAATAAATAAATAAATATGACAAATAGATCTTTGTGTGATATCTTCAGCTATCTGAAGAATACATTCATATTTATCCATAGCAGAGATTGTATTCAGCTAGTTCTGACCGGTTCTGGCGAACTGGTAGCAGAAATTTTGAGTAGTTCGGAGAACCAGCAAATACCCCCTCTGGCTGGCTCCCCCCCCCTCATCTATTTGCTGCTTCCCAAGTCCCAGATGATTGGCTGTGTCTTCTTCTGTTGCCCTGCAAAGCAGGTGAGGGAGCTGGGGAGGCAATGGGGATATTACAGTATTCTTGCCCTGGAGTGGGGTGGAAATGGAGATTTTACAGTATATTTGCCCTGCCATGCCCACCAAGCCACACCCACCAAGCCCCGCCCCACTCACAGAACTGGTAGTAAATTTTTTTGGATCCCACTACTGGTCCATAGTCTTCTTTGATCAAGACTAAATATTTCCTGTTAATACAGTCTCCCTTTAAATTCTCCTTATTACCTCTGCTGCCCTTTAAAGACCCCCTTGTCAAATTCTCCTTCCCCGTGAAGGAGTCAACTTACTTGGGGCTCATGTTTTCTCTTTCGAAAACTAGCTGCATTCATGCAGAAACACTTCCCTCTTGCATTCACTCATAACACAACTCGCTACTCCCAAACATCCAAACATCTTTGCAGCTGCCAGTGATAAATGAGCAACACTTTTTTTCAAGGATGTGCTGATGTCCAGAGGCAGCCTCACTGAACTCAAGCCTTTAGCTTACAAAAGCAAATGCCAAAACACAGTGTGGAGAGTGGGATGGATGTAGGAGGAAAAAGGATGAGCAAAGTGAGTGGTTATCTCCAAAGTTGAGAAATGGAGGCAATGTCTGGAGACTGGCAGCTGTTACAAGCTGTCAAGAGGATTTATTCAACTGCCTGGATCACACACTATGATGAGCAGGACATTCTGGTAAGAGTCCAGCCTGGAGCTTGGAACTTTGCAAAGAGCTTGGTAGCAATTAGAAAAGAAGTGACCACACTTAGGGGACATGGTGGCTCAGTGGCNTTCCTGACTCAAAGGGGGTGGTGCTCATCTCCGTTTCAAAGTCAAAGAGCCAGCACTGTCCAAAGACATCTTTGTGGTCATGTGGCCGGCATGACTAAATGCCAAAGGCACACGGAACGCTGTTACCTTCCCACCAAAGGTGTTTCCTATTTTTCTACTTGCATTTTTACATGCTTTTGAATTGCTAGGTTGGCAGAAGCTGGGACAAATAATGGGAGCTCACTCCATTACGCAGCGCTAGGGATTTGAACCTCCAAACTGCCAATCTTTCTGATCAACAAGCTTAGCATCTTAGCCACTGAGCCACCACGTCCCTTCATGTTGCTCTTATAGAAGAGTAATAGTGCCGTCTCTTTTAGTGCAGGCTATTCTTTGAATCAGTAACTGAGTCCAAGTTGTTCCCTTTAAGTGTGAAACGTTGCTGCTAAATATATGCTAAGTCAACTTTCCTTCAGAGTAATTGCTGGTGAATTGTTCACTTAATCAATCTCCGGTTCAGTTCCCTAATCAGCAACATAAGACCTGCTCAATTTAATCTGTCAAAGTACTAAAAATCCTTGTAATGCATTGCAGCTTTTAAAAAGCAAACATTGGAACATTAGCAAAAAGAACTAGGCTATATTTAAGTTAGGTAAAACTTTCAAGGTGAGCTGGAAGCTGAGACTACGCTGAACTATTACTTTTCTCTTACCGGCTTTGGTCGTGTCTCCCTCAGGAAAGATTTCAAGTCTCCTCCAGCCATAAGCTCCAGTAAAATAAAGCGAGGCAGAGCCTGTAAGCTTACTCCAATGCAGCGTACAATATTCTGGTGATTGAATTTGCTGCAAGGAAGATTGAGGGGAAAAAAACTTTTAATGCAAAAAGACAGAGATTGAACCTTGAGATTTATTTATCTAACCAAGCCGCCTTTTTTTAGCTCTCTTGCTCTCCTGGCGCATTGGACTTCAGTGACCATCATGTATGGCTACAGTGGACATTATAAAATTGCAGATCAATATTTGGGTTAAGCCAGATCAATGTAGTCTGGTGGTCAAAACAAAATTGCTGTTGGATTAGACAATAGAAGACCATTGCAAGTCAAAAAATAATAATTTGCTCAGTGAATTTTTATATGGAAAATAATAATACAATAAAATAACCCCTTTCTCCCCACTTAAAAAATGAACAGCTTAACATTTTCAGCTACTTTGTTCCTTCGTTCCCCTCTCAGATTTTGGGGTGATAGTGAATAAAGTTAGTCTTATGATACTGGTAACCTCAAAATTATTACTATCACTGAAAGCCAACACGCACTTTGCAAAAATGTTATTTTTTACTGCTCTGCGAATTTCAAGTATTCTTATAAGTTTAAGAGACTCTTTAACAAACAAGAAAATCTGAGATTTTAAGCTAACAGCAGTGTTATGTTTAGGAGATAATCCTAAATTTATCTGTCTTCTGTGGTGATTTTAAGATAATTCCATCTCTTACGAAGATCCTCCTGATAGAGGACTGTTTTATAGGCAGATTGTAAAGTTTGAAGAAAATAAGGGAAATGCAATTGCTTTGGGCAATTTTACTGGATTATATGTGATTCGTTTGTATAAAAGCTGGAGAGTTAAAACGACCAGCGCTTTTAATACTGGTAGATGTGTATTTGAGGTAGAAAAGCAGGTGACCAATTTGAATTAACATACCTTATTATAAGAGCTTCCATCAGGAAATCCAACTCATCTTGCTCTGAGCAAACCTCTGGCAATGTCTAGTCAAGAAAGAAGAGAGGGAAAGTGAAACTTCTTTCATGTGGAAAGTGTTTTAGGTACCACTGTCCAAAAACTATTCTAAGCCATTTAAGAGATACCTAAATCTTTAGAAATTCCCTATTAGAAATTCTCTACAGAAACTCCACATAGAAACTCAACTATTTAGCTTTCTGGATGGAATGATGAGAAATGTAGTTCAACACTATTTAAAAACTCCAAGTTGAGAAAGATGGTGTGTGTGTGTGTGTGTGTGTCTACACACACACACAATCTGGATTTAACACATCTGGATTTAATACGTATGCCTCAGACAATAATAACAGCAAACATTTTCTTCCATCACTCAACTACTTTGAGAAAACTCAGGTTTTCAGTTAGTATATCAATAACAACATAGGATGGTGAACTGTGACAGGATAAGGATGTTGAATAGGAAAAGTCTGAGCCAAGTTCCCCAATGGATAGTTCTATAGAAGCTAGATTAAATGTTCATAATTTCCAACTAGCATGGACAATAGTCACTGATATGGAAGTTATGAGAGTCACAATGACAATACATCTGAAGGACTCTAGAGAAGGGAACACAATCAAAAGTATTTCCTGCTTGGGATAAGTAATATTTGAAAGAACCAGAGTTTCAAAAACATGCCTATAAATTAAAATTAATAACTTTTATGAACTTCAGCAATAATCATCTAAGTGGCAGTTCTGGGTTCTTAATACCTCCAAGTGTCTATAATCAGGAATACATTCACCCTTTCCCCTCAGAGAAAGTAGAAAATGAAGTCAACCTTTCCTTGGTGTGATAGGTCCCATGAGGCAGATTTGTCTCATTGAAACTTACTTTTACAGCCACTTGAAGAGGAGTGGGGTCAGTGGGGATCCCAATCACCTGGCCTTCATACACTTCCCCAAAAGCTCCATGGCCTAGACCCCTGACAAGACCAGAAGAGGGAAGATGATTTTAACATAACCCAAAGGCACAATTCTTACAATATGTATTCTTAAATATATACTGGAATGTTCAAATGGAAAACTCTTGGTGTTTTATTAACTGCATTAACTATTGTGTAAATAGTGAGAGATTTCTTAATGCAGTCTTACTATCGGATGTAGGAGTTACTCAAGGGAGATATTAAAAAAAAGAGCTACTCTAAGAGGTATTTTAAAATAGAAGCCAATTTTACTACGCCCACATAGTCATACCACTGCCAGTCTTTCTTCTGTCATTTGTAGTACCAGCAGCTGTTATATACAAAAGAACAATTTTTGATGATAGAGAACAAGATTCATGCAACTCTTATCAAGTACAAAATATATAGGTTTGCATTTTTCAGGTTTAAAATGGATGAGACTCAGTCATGGTTTTCTATGCTAGAATGGATTTCATTCATATGCCTTTAAGGGAGTTCAATTTTTAAATATTCTATGAAGAAAAAGCATCATTGCCGGTTAAAAAAATCCAAGCACAGCAGGATGTCAACTACGTTAGAATCTTTTCCTCTGAAATGCTAGATCTTGTTATTCTTTAAAGTTATACAATCCTTGAAAGATAAGAACCATGGATCCTATCTGGATTCTGAAATAAGCAGGAACCAAGACAGCATATATTTAAGCACAGGAGACCTGCCTATTTCCCAGTTATCTGAAATAATTGCAGTTTTCACATTATCTGTAAAAGAAGCCCCATGGATAATATATTACTGTATAGCATAGTATGCTAAAATTGAGAAATTATCAAATCAGGGTAATAAAAGCTACATTACAAACGCAAGAGATACGAGTTGGCATGCCAGCAAAGGCTGGTTAGAAGGCACTCTTGGAAATGCCTAAAAATATCGTGAAACTGTGAGTGCCAATTTATTGGCTGTCACATAGTCAATAATTTCATTCCAGTTCTAGTTCATTATTTTTTACCCTCTCTAGTGATTTGGTGGGAAAAGCAGTAATAGAATGCCATAATTCCCAAAAGAGGTAGGTGTGCTAGTTTTTTGAAACCTAAGAAAAACAAACCAGCAAGCAATGTCAGTAATGTCAACCACTACTGCCGGTTTGCTCATGTGTGCACTTCGTGCATATGCGCTTGATGCGCACTACGTGTGCATGTGCAGTCCAACTAAAATTGTTCTGCGCATGCACAGAACTGAAAAACAAGATGGCAGTACCTATTGCGCCACCTAGGGAACCGGTTTGGGGGCGTGGCAGGCCTGGTCGCTGCCAGTTCCAGTAACCCAGGCCACCAAACCACTACTGGTTCGACCAAACCGGTCCAAACAGGTAGGAACCCACCACTGCACCTGACCCCAAATCCTGTGACTTCTAAAACCTGATTCTTTTTATTACAATATGTACATTGTGATTGCATCATAACATCTTTCTTTAGTAGTGCATCCAGGAACCATTTCAATAATATAATAAATAAGTAGAATGCAGTTGATCTTATTAATGTTGGCACCAATGGAAATGCCGCCCCACCTCCAGGGTTAGTTTTCAGGAAGCAAGCAGCTCATTAGAAACATTAAAATCTTTCTTTGCATTGTAGACAACGCCTATGTTGATCGTTACTTTGCTTATTTTAGCATTTGAAAAAGGAAACAGGCCATCTGCATCCTACATGCAGGAACCCTGGTGGCATAGTGGTTAAGTGCAGTATTGCAGGCAAACTTTGCCCAA